TTAAAAATATAATTCCTTTTATAGTTTCTTAATACAAATGAAATACTTAGTAATAAATGTAAAAAAAATTAACACAAGCTTGTATTCTGAAAACTACAAAACATCGATAAAAGAAACCAAAGAAGATTGAAATAGAGATACTGTGTTCATGGATTAGAAGATGATGTAGTAAAGAAGTCAATTGATCCATTGACTAAATTGATGTATAGGCTTCATAAAATTTACATTAAAAACCAAGCAAGATTTTTTTTGTAGAGACAAGATTATTCTGAAATTTGTTTGGAAAGGCAAAGTAACTAGAATAGCAAAAACAATGTTGAATACAAAGAATACATTTCAAAAGGTCACTCTACCTGAATTCAATACTTCTTATATAGTGACAGTAACCTAAACTCTGTAGAGCTGATGGAAAGATGGACACATAGATCAACGGAACAGAACAGAGAAAAAGAAATACCCCTAAACATGCCCAGCTGATTTTTGACTAAGACGTAAAAGCAGTTCAATGGAGGAATCACTTTCAACAAATGTTACTGGAACAACTGAATTTCCGTAGGCAAAAAGTAAACTTCAGCCTGAGCCTCACACCTTATACAAAAATTAACTCAAAATAGAGAAAAGATTTAAATGTAAAAATAAAACTAAAATTTTAGAAAGGCACAATTCAAAATCTTCAAGATTAAGACTTGGTGCAGAATTCTTAAACATGGCACCAAAAGCACAATCCATAAAAGGAAAACATCCATAAATTGGACTTCATCAAGATCAAAAAGGTTTGCTCTGCAAAAGACCCTCTTAGGAGGATCAAAAGACAAGCTACAGACAGGGAGAAAATATTTGCAAATCACATGTCTGAGAAAGGACTCACATCCAGAATACATAAAGGACTCTCAGAATGCAACAGTAAAAATCAAGCAATTCAATTAGAAAATGTGCAAAAGACATGAAGAGACATTTACTATACAGAGTGTACCTGGGTCAAATAAGCACTTGAAAAGATTTCCAACCTCATTAGCTATTAAAGAAATGCAGGTTAAGACCACAATAAGAAATCACTACCTACGTATTAGAACAAGTAAAATAAAACAGAACGGCAGCACCAAATGCTGGCAAGGATGCAAAGAAACTAGATTTCACACATATTGCTGTGCAACATCAAGTGGTACAGCCACTCTGGAAAGCAGTTCGACAGTTTCTTAAGAAACGAAACATATATTTATTATATTTCCTAGCAATCATACTCCTGGGCGATTATCTCAGAGAATTGAAATCTTATACCTACACAAAAATCTGCAGTGGTTGTTTATAGCAAGTTTATTTGCAATAGCTAAAAACACTAAAATTACCAACAATAGGTGCATGGTTAAACAAACTATGGTACGTCCATACCAGAGAATAATATAGCAATAAAGGAAAACAAACTGCTGACATGTGCAACAACTTGCATGCATGGCAAATGAATTGGGGCAAGTAAAACAAGCCAGTCTCAAAAGGTCACATACTATATGATTTATAGAACATTCTCGAAACAACCAAATTAAAGAGGTGGAGATCAGATCAGTGATTGCCAGTGTTGAGAGATGGTGGGGCTGGATGGCTTGACTTTAAAGGGAAGCACAAAGGATATCTTTGTGATGATGGAGCAGTTACATATCTTGTCTGCCTGGTGGTTACAGAAATCTACATATACCACCAATGACACAAAACTATTTGCGCACTGAGTCTGTACCAGTTTCCTGGCTTTGATATTGTAGGGTAGCTACATAAGATGTAGCCAACGGGGCGAACTGGGCAGAGGATTCATAGGATCTCTCTGTACTATTTTTGCAACTTCCTGTGAATGTATAGTTATTTCAAAATAAAAAGGTTAAAAAGAAACAAAAGTCAACATTATACTTAGTGGTGACACGCTGGAAAAATTCTCATTAGAATCAGGAATAAGGCAATTTTATTTGTTATCAACATCATCCTCCTAATTAATGCTGGAAGTCTGGCCAGTGTAGGGGAAGGAAGAATTATTATTAGAAAGAGACCTAATAACTCTTTGAAGTTTCTACAATTGTATGCTTCTAATACCAAATGAATCTAAAAGAGTTAAATTAAGCAAAGTGATAGAAGGTTAAATAAATATAAAAATATTTTTCTCTACACTGTAATAATAGGCTGGAAATATTTATGGCAAAAATTACATTAATCAAAAGAAAGTGAGTGGTCTCACCTTAAGAAAGGACTTAGCTAATAAAAATGAAGAATGTGACTCTAGTAACATAAAGACAGTTTAAGAAATAAGAATGCACATTATTTTTCTTGATACTAAATTATTAGTGTAAATATAAGTCTTCCTCAAATTTTAGTGGAATAGTGATTTTGGAAAATTCAGTGAATGATCCTAAAATAATCTGAAACAATAAGTAGTGAAAATGACTTTGAAAGTTGTATTGAGGTCTAATTTACATGCCACAAAACTCTCTCCTTTTAAGTGTGCAATACAATGATTTTTAGTAAATTTACAAAATTGTGCAACCATCACCACGATCTAGCTTTAGAATGTCTCCGTCACAGCAAAAAAAAAGTGTCATCCCCATATTCAGTCACTGTGTGATACCACCCCAGCCCTGGTAACTACTCATCTACTTTCTATCTTTATACATGTCCCTATTCAAAACAATTTGCATAAATGGAATCAGGCAACATGTGGCCTTTGTGTTTGGCTTCTTTTACTTAGCATACGATCTTACCCTGTTGTAATAGGTGGGAAAACTTCATTCCTTTAGATAGCTGAATAATGCTCCACTCTGTAGACAGACTGCATCTTGTTTATTTATTCTACTTGAGTGGACAATTGGGTTGTTTCCATTTTTGGCAATTATGTGAAATGGATGTTTTCATACAGGTGGGAGAGAGGAGACAGCGTAGGAAGGTTTACTCTCTTTCGATCAACAATTTCATGCCTAAGAAAATATCCTAAAGAAATGATCAGAAATGTGCTCAAAAATTTATGTACAGAGGGAGTCATTGGAGCATGTTCACGAGAGAAAATTAGGAACCTTCTGAAGATCCAAGAATAGAGAAATGGGAAAAGAAATTGTGATACACTCCTTAAAAATGTTTTGTAGCTATTAAAAATTATGCTTTCAAAGACTACTTAGTACCATATTAAAATTCTCACAACGTTACTTTAAATAAAACAATATGCAGTAGTACATACAGTGTGAAACCACCTTCATACAATAAAATTGTATTCATATTTACCTCGATTGTTCTTTTGGATCAACTATAATAAACATACAAATACATTTTCTAGAATACAACTATGGTTGTTTCTGGGAGGAAGAATTGTGGATGGTTTTTACCTTCTTTATATTTTTCTGTATTTTCCAAATTTTGCACAAAAAAGTGTTGCCTTTATAATAGAAATAAAAGAGGCCGGGCGCAGTGGCTCACGCCTGTAATCCCAGCACTTTGAGAGGCCGAGGCAGGCGGATCACGAGATCAGGAGATCGAGACCATTCTGGCTAACACGGTGAAACCCCATCTTACTAAAAATACAAAAATTAGCTGGGCGTGGTGGCAGCGCCTGTGGTCCCAGCTACTCGGGAGGCTGAGGCAGGAGAATGGCGTGAACCCGGGAGGTGGAGTTTGCAGTGAGCCGAGATCGCGCCACCGCACTCCAGCCTGGGCGACAGAGTGACACTCCATCTCAAAAGAAAAAAAAAAAAAGAAAGAAATAAAAGATTATTGTGGGTACAAAGAAAAATGTTCACTTTGCAAGTTCTTTTTAAGGTATGTATGCTTTTTTCCCCCTGGCAACTTGTTGGAAAATTACAAAAGAAAACAATATCCCTAAATCCTGACACATAAAGAAAGGTTCAAAGTATGAATATAATGAAAGGGCCAGCTAAGCTAAATGGAAGACTGACCAGAATGGTTCGGAATGAGAAGGCAGGAGGGAGGGACTGATCTCAGTGTGTCTGCAGGTTATACCTTGGGGTATTATGTTATCCCTTGTGGCGTGTGTGTGTGTGTGTGTGTGAGAGAGAGAGAGAGAGAGAGAGATTTGTGGCTGAGCCTTCCTTCTTTGCTGTTCCTTACACACTTTCCTTCCTTGCATTCCTCCCTGGTTTTATGCGATCCATGTGGTTAGAGATTCTTGCTGCTGGCCGCGTTTTTTGGAGTTTGTTTTCACGGCCATTCCCGCGCACGCTCATGCCTCTCCTCTCTATCAGCTGGTGACGTGAGCGTTGGAAACACACTGAGCACTGGTTTCCATGGGGAAGAGATGACTTCCTCTATGGATCTTCCTTAGTTCGCAGGGGCTGGTGTTTTGCGCAGTTTGAGTGCTGACCCCACGCCATCAGAGCACAGGCTTAGTCCTTCCCTAAGCTAGTCATACTTAACAAGTCCAGAGCACATAACTTAACCAGGTCCCCCAGCTTGCACATCATAGGAACCCCAATAATTTAAGAGGAGGGGTAGGAGAAGCATGCAGAGAGTGGGCTGTGCTTAACACAGGCCCAGGTCGCCCAGCCCAGAAACTAGCCAGTGGACTCTCTACGTTTTTCTACAGAAAACCAGGCTCTGGCCCTGAGAGGACCGGGTGTGACTGCCAGGGCAGGACAGTGTGATGCGGGATGAGCCCTGTACTGTGTCCACTCTCCGAACAGATGCTCCTGGCAACCGAACCCACAGCGTCCTGCCTGTGTGCTGAGACTCTCCAGTGTGTGTCCTGGCCTTCAGCCACAGGTGGGGGGTGCATGACTCCCACCGAGGGCATCTTTGATTATTTTGCGTAGCCAGCAACCATGAGGCCGAGCAGAGTCAGAGCTTGATCTAGGAGCCGTGGAGGTGCGTGTGGGAGCTTGGGGGAATCTCCTGGAAAGGAAGTGAGGGAGAATTCTCCTGGGGTTTGCTGCCCCCAAGGAAACCGGCCCTGCAGGACTCATCCCGGGAAGCCCACAGCATCTCCCCTCCACCTCCCTCACTCCGTTTTCCATCTTTAGGGCTTGTACCACGCAGGCATTGACATTAGGATGCGAAGTGTCTGATTGGAGGGTTTCCTTGTAGCTGCAGTAACAATGGAAATACATTTTGAAAAATCAGTTTTAATAAAGCCCAGGCACTGACCCCAGCCACGTAAGTATTTATATTATTGACTTCTGTATGAGGTGATTTGTTAGGAGAGAAAAAAGTCTTTCTGCTCTTGTCTTGAGACCCGAGGAAAAAAAATAACAAAAATTAGAGAAACTGGAGATAAAAACGCAGTGAGTGGAATCACGCCAATGCCCCTGGGAGGCTCGCCTGCCGTGCTCATGCTGCTTCTCATCCGTTATACGAGTGTGATAGCTCTTTGCCGTTTGATGGTGTCATTACGTAGACTCTACACATTCGATTCCATTTACAAGTCAATGGTGTGAGATTTTATGACAATTCTTTTTCAGTGAGTCAATTCCGTACGATCCTACTCAGTTAAGAAAAAATATATGAAAAGAATTCCTAAATAGTTGCCTTTTGGACCTCTCCCCAGAAAGTCTCAACCCACTAGGCATTTTTTACTGCAGGCCTTTGGCCTTCTGTTCATGGGAAATGGGCAGAAACCAGGTCCAGGTAGCCTTGCTTTTGAGGCAACAATATTTCATAAATGTAAAGGCTGGAGCTTGCCAGAACAAACATTCTGGATATCACGTAGTGGAACTTTGGATCCAATTTTGAAACCAAAAGGAGAAGTGAGAAGCCTGGAAGAAAATCTGGGGATGGGATACTCACTAAACCCAGGGTGTGGTTTCCTCTGGGACAGGGACAAAAGGTCTTACCAAGGTGTTTAGATATGTCTAACAGACGGCCCCAGGTATGGGGACTGTAGGTCTCAATGGTGAAAGAGGCATGAGGCGGCTATTAGAAGTTGGATTGTGTCCCTTCCCTAAATCCATAGGCTGAAGTCCTAACTCCCAGGATCTCGGAATGTGACTCTCTTTGGAGACAGGGTCTTTAGAGAAGTCAGTTAAGTTAAAATGAGGTCATTAGGGTGGGTCCTAATCCCATATGACTGGTGTCCTTATAAGAAAAGATTTGAACACAAACATGCACAGAGCAAAGAGGGTTTGAGGAGACACAGGGAGAAGGTGGCCACCCACAAGCTAGGGAGTGAGGCTGGGGACAGACTGCTCCCTCAGAGCCTCGAAGGAAGCAGCCCTGCGGGCACCCTGATCTCAGGATTCTGGCCTCCAGAGCTGTGAGACATTATACTTCTGTTGTTTAAGGTCCTGGCTTGTGTACAGTGTTATGGCAGCCCTAGCAAAAATCATAGAGTGAGGAGGGAGATGTCTCTTGGGAAGCAGCATAACATCTGAACCCAGCTTTGAAGACAAGGCAGGGTTTTGCTAAGGTGGGGATGTTCACGGGAGAGGCAGAGAGCGTGAAGGCAGCCAGGGGAAAGGCTGTGCGCAATTGGTTTGACTGGAAATGTGCAAGAATGTTTTGGGTGTAGTCTGAGCTGTAGCAGGGCACTCAGTAGCCATCCAGCAAGCCCTGATCGGGCACCTGCCCTGTGCTTTGCAGCAGGGACAGACACATGAGAAACATGAGCTTTGCTAAGTTCACACTCTCAGGAAGGGCAGGCATGGGAGGGGGTGGGAATTCAGAGTGGCAGGAGCAGCGACTGTGAATCTTCAGAGAAGGGCGTGGAAGATTCCACCTCGAAGATGGGACAGGTGACCAGCAAGGGTGGTTGCTGGAGGAATGGACAGGGATAGATGGAAAATGGAGGGGAAATAGGAGTCCCGAGAGAAGGAAGGATGAAAATGAAGGCAGGAGTGCTTGGAAAGAGGAAGTTCCAAGCATGGCCGAGTAGAGGGGCACCCAGGAATGAGGACGGAAAATGAGGGTGAAGATCCCAGAAAGAGGACCCTAGGGTCCAGGCACAAGGACACAGGATTCACAGAGTTTAAACTTCTAATGGTGGACAATTTCCATAGTGTTTTCATTTCTCTTCATTGACAGCATTGGCCCCAACTTTATTTTTGTGACGTTTAGGTACTCTTTTAGAATGGAAAGAAAATTACATCGAATGAATTCACTCATTGTTTTACATTTATAGAAAAAAATTAATATTTTTCCACAAAACTGGAATTTAAAACAGATTTTTTTATAGGACTTGGAGTTTTAGTAGAACATTGACATATTTCTCTAATGAAAGATTACAATATTGTTACTTGTGCCAGAAAATATTTATTAAATGAAAGAAGTGAGCACATTATAGAAGTCACATAGTTCTATGTTTCCATGACTAACAAGTTGTTTTACTGATTTACAATTTGGTGGTTATGGTTTTCCATGCTCTTTCTAGCCATTTAGCTTTTTCATTTCCTTTCCATGGGTCTTTTATCTTTGGGTAGTGGAAATTAAACTAACACACTGTCAAAATTCCCATCATGGAGGCATTTGGGTGGGAAGGACAAATTGTTGTTAAAATGTTGCATATTTAGGCGTGAAATACGATCCTTAGAAAGTATCATTAATTGCACGTATGTTGCTATGTCCTCGATTCTTGTGGGACATTTTATATTTGGTACGTTTGCCCCTTTAAGCATGTTTCTCACTCAACCGTGCCTCTCCCACCCCCCAGGTGGAGACAGCCTCAGTGCTGGAGGTCAGAGCAGTGGCCCTGGAAATCTGTGCACATCCTTAGCTGAGAGCCTATGAGGCCACAGCTGTGACTGGGGAGTTTGGGAATAAACTTCCTGGGGCTGATAAAAAAGGACTCTTGGCAGCCGAGTTCCTCAGTCTCCAAATCCCAGTTCTGTCCCTTCTCGAGTAACTATTCTCCTGGCTCACAGCCTTCCAGGATTACAACTTTGGGACATCCCTTGAAGGGAGGAGTGAAGCCTCCAAGGGACACATTTGCCCTTCAAATCACCACCTGTCTCTCCCAAGTTCTCCGGTGCTGATCTCACAAAGTGCAGAGATTGCCACATGCATGGTCATCCTAGGTTCAATCATGTCTCCCCTAAATTCCTGTCCACCTAGAACCTCAGAACGCCATCTGATTTGAAAATAGTCTTTACAAAGGTGATAAATTAGGATGGGGACAACCTGGGTTAGGGTGGGTCCTTACTCCAGTGACTCGTGTCCTTTTAAGGAAAACAGACACAAAGACAGAAGATGGCTATGCGAAGACGGAGATAGGGACTGGAGTAATGTGGCCACAAGCCAAGCTCCTGGGGCCACCAGAAGCTGGAAGAGGCAAGGAAGGATTCCCTGCTAGAGTCTTTGTAGGGAGCAAGGCCTTGCTGATGCAATGACTTTGGACTTCTGGCTTCCAGAGCTGTGCAAATGTGGTAATTTGTATGGCAGGCCTAGGAAAGCAATGAATGGGGTTGGTGATTTTCCTTGTTTCCAGTAGCCGTTGTCTGCTCTTTGGTGTGGCATCTTGTGCTCAGTGTCAGCCTCAGAGTTTAGTGTGTGCCAAGCCCTTCCCCAGTGCACTAGGGGTGAGTAACAATAGCAACTCCCTGACTCCACCCCAAACCACCCAGTTCTGTGACCCCCTCCCCACAGACTCCGCCACTGGCTAATAAGTGCCTTGATCAGAGAATTGAGCAGTGTCGGACTAGAGAAACACCAGTTGCACAAGGATAGAACACACTCTCAATTTCTCACTTATCAATTATCAACACCACATAGCCATCCTTACCCTTCCCCACATAAAAATGCTGTTTATGCAACTTTCTGTTTCTGGTTTTTTCAATAGAGATAGGAAAATGCCTGGGTTCCAATCTGGGCTCTGCTATTTATAAACATTTTTGTTTGCATGAGTTACCTTATCTTCTGTGCTTCCATACCCACAGCTATAAATGGATTAAAAATAACAGGCTGAGTCCACAGTTCTACTAGGACAAAATACATGAATATACATGAAACCCTCAGAAGAATGCTTGGCACATAACAAATGCTCAATAAACGTTAGATTTCATCCTTGAAAATTCCAAGATTGCCCTTCCGTGGACTCTCTGTGGGCCTCTGGTCGTATCCTGATCACCCTCTGGCAAACCAGGCTGAAAGGTATTTGTCTCTATATTAACAAGGCCACGTCATACTTGCTGGCAGCGTTATGAAAACTTCTTAGTGGAGCTGGACAAGGGTTTGGCAACCCTGAATAATGAGCAATGGTTAGTTGCAGTGCCCACCTGCTGCGTGTTGGGCATGACTCAGTTTCCTGTCCTGTCCCCCACTCCCAGCTTTTCCTCCTGGCCGAACACTTTGGCTAAAATGAACTTGCCTCCTGCAACCAGTTCCAGGAAGGATTAACTGGCTCTGTTTGGAATGAGCTGCCCTGCGTAGCAGTATGGACAAGCTCCCAGATGTAATCATACAACAGTCTGGTTAGAGGGAAAGCTAATCAGAGGCCCATCTCTCACATACCTGAGAGTCCTGACCCCCCATGGCAGCACCTCTGGCACTAGTCTAGGGAACAGTCCCCAGGAGTGTGGCCATGCAGTTAGAAGACAGAGCCAGCTGCCCTCCATGTAGCTAAGGCAGCCCACTAGTGCAAGGCCCAGCCATGCCATTGTTGAAACCTGAGCAGCTGTTTGATGAAATCTCGCCCTGCTGGTTCAGCAAGGCTCACCTCTAGGTGCAAACCTTGTGGTGAAGTTGGCTGCACCTACACTCTTTATGGCCATGGGACAGGAAGCCCTTCCTTGGGCAGGTCTTTTGGGAGTGGCTGACCTAGAAAGGGCTGTCCCTACTGGCCAACCTATTCCTGGAGCTCGGTCTTGCAACATCACTTTGGTGACCGTAGGGAGGTACAGGGAACTCGGTGTCTCGAGAGGAACAGCCCGTCAGTCCAAAGGGTATGGACTGAATATAGCAAAAGGCAAACAAACAAAAACCATGATGGGTTTTAGGAAAGATAGATTGGGTTTGGATCCAAACTCCAGGGCCAGTACTCTGCCTCTTTGAGCCTTGATTTCCTTATCCATTAAGTTGGAGATGATGGTATGGTTCTGCAGTGATGGAGAGGAAAGAGCTCAGTGTAAGACCCAGCACATGGAAAGCAATCTGAGACACTCTGCGTCTCCCCTCCTCTATGTCTTCACAATGTTGATGCCACCACCTCACCCGAGGCCACTTACCACCCATGGGCGCTTGGGGCTGCCTCTTACTTTCTTCCAAATTGAGAGTTTTACCTGATAGTTAGCAAGTGGGAGGTTAAACACCTCCTGGCCTTCTGAGAGGAAACAGAAAAGAAGCAGAGTAGAGCCCAGGAGGCTTTGCCTCTGTCCCCACAGCAATGAGCAGTTACTCTTGTCTCTAAGCCTCAGAGATATTTCATCCGTGAAACAGAGAGAATAATAATATTATGTTCCAGGCAGTTTTCACAATTACTTGTGGTAACAGATACAGGGGACGAGCACAGTATCTGCCACATAGTAACTGGTCACAAAAGTAGGCAAAGATAATGATAAAACGTGGGCCATTACTCTCACCTACCAACTCCCCAAATGTCTACTCCCCATCTGAACCTAAAGTACAGATGGAGAATTCTAGTATAAAAGCTAAAACTCAACTCATGGGCCCTGCTGCTTTGCCTGCTGGGGCCTCTGCCTGTATCTGGAGAAATCTACGGCAGAAGCTGCACCTCTGTAATGATGATAGATATCTCAGTGTGCACGCAGTTATAGGGCGATCCTGCTGTCTCTGACCCTGGGCCTCCGAGTTCTCACACTTGTACATCTGCAGACAGTCTGCAGCTTTCTGAGCAATGCAAGGGTGTTGCAAACTTGTAAAGGGTATGTAGCTCTGTAGGATGCTGTTTCGACCCTAAAATGTCCACAAACTCTTAGATCTTAGTGTCCTATAAACCACTTATTAGTATGTTCTCACATTGCTATAAAGAACTACTTGAGAAGGGTAATTGATAAAGAAAAGAAGTTTAATTGGCTCATAGTTGACACACTGTACAGGAAGCGTGGCTGGGGAGGCCTTAGGAAGCTTATAATCATGGCGGAAGGTAAAGAGGAAGCAGGCAGATCCTACATGACTGAAGCAGGAGGAAGAAGGAGAAGAGGGAGGTGCTACAAACTTTTTAACAACCAGATCTCATGAAAAATCACTCACTATCTTGAGAACAGCAAAGGGGAAATCTGCCCTCATGATCCAATCACCTCCCACCTGGACCCTCCTCCAATATTGGGGATTACAATTCAACATGAGATTTGGACAGGGATACAAACGCGGACCATATTGCCAGGCCTCCCATGAACAGAGACCAGAGCTTGGTGCCTAGCCAGGCAGAATCCCCCTCTATTCACACCACCCAGGCCTTCAGGACCAGTGGGCTTGCTTCTGCATGTTTTTGCTATGTTGGGCTCCCTGGTGTCGGGATGGGCTCTGACATAGAACTTTTCCTTATAGCAAATCCAGGAGCTTTTGTCAAGTCCTTTTGTTGGAGTGTCAGGCATGTTAATAATAAATTCTGCATAGTAATTTCTAATAATATCTGTAATGTGTTAGGCATTTCTATTGCTTTATCTCTCACATCTTGGGGTTAACCACACTCTCTACAGAGCTTCAGAAAGAAAGTCAGTCTTTTCAATGTCATTCCCACAGTCAAGGAAGCCTTTTGCAACCTGAAGTTGATTTCATGTGAAAACCATCTTCGCACAGCCTCTGGTAGAGCCTCTTCAAGGAGGGAAACTGCAGCAAACCTTTGTTACTTTTTACTTCACATCAGGGGTTACCCCATAGCACCAGCACCCAAATTTGGAAACCAATACTTATCCTTTTATTTGAAAGAAAGTTTATTATACAGCTGAAACCTGTGTTGGGAGCAGGGGTGTCACCTAGACTGAGGTAATCTGGTATATAGATGGTCCCTGACTTAACAATGGTTTGACTTACAAGTTTTCCTCTTTATGATGGCCTGAAAGTGGTTCTCATTCAATAGAAATCATTTGATTACCCGTATGGACATTCTGTTTTTCACTTTCAGTACAGTATTCAATAAATTACAGTATTTGATAAATAAATCATTTCAATAAATTAAAGGTATTCAACACTTTGTTATAAAATGGGGTTTATGTTAGATAATTTTCTCCATTGTGGGCTAATGTGTTTTGAACATTTTTAAGGTAGGTTAGACTAAGCTATGATGTTTGGTAGTTTAAGTGTATTCAATTCATTTTTGACTTACAATATTTTCAACTTATTATGGGTTTATCAGGACATAACCCCACTGTAAGTCAAGGAGTATTTTTATTCTGTTTCTTTCTCCACAGTAACTGGATTCCAGATGGCTCCATGAACCAAGTTAGATTATGAAAGTCAATGAAAATCATTTCAAGGACTTCAGTTGGAGCTGTGCAGGAAGAAAAAAATCCAAGTTTTTCACAGGACTGGGTGCTTAAGTATTGTGGAGAGAGAAAGTAAATGAATTCTTATCCAATTATTGATTAGCTGAGGTTTATTTTAATCATGTAAGGATGACACAAAAACCAGGAAGAATTATTGTTGCCCTCTTACAAGATCAAACCCTTAGATATTTGTATTAGTCTGCTTTCACGCTGCTGAAAAAGACAAACCCGAGACTGGGCAGTTTACAAAGGAAATAAGTTTAATGGAGAACTGACAGCTCCACGTGGCTGGGGAAGCCTCACAATCATGGCAGAAAGCAAGGAGGAGCAAGTCACATCTTACATGGATGGCGGCAGGCAAACAGAGAGCTTGTGTAAGGAAACTCCTGTTTTAAAAACCATCAGATCTCATGAGACTTATTCACTATCATGAGAAAAGCATGGGAAAGACCGGCCCTCATGATTTAATTACCTTTCACTAGGTCCCTCTCACAACATGTGGGAATTCAAGATAAGATTTGGGTGGGGACAGAGCCAAACCATATCATTCCACCCTTGGCCCCTCCCAAATCTCATGTCCTCATATTTCAAAACCAATCATGCCTTCCCAACAGTCCCCCAAAAATTTAACTCATTTCAGCATTAACTCAAAAGTCCACAGTCCAAAGTCTCATCTGAGAGAAAGACAAGTCCCTTCCACCTATGAGCCTGTAAAATCAAAAGCAAGTTAGTTGCTTCCTAGATACAATGGGGGTACAGGTATTGGGTAAATACAGCCATTCCAAACGGGATAAATTGGCCAAAATGAAGGGGCTGCAGGCCCCAGGCAAGTCCGAAATCCAATGCAGTCTTACAGCTGCAAAATTATCTCCTTTGCCACAACAGGAGATGGGTTCCCACAGCCTTGGCCAGCTCTCCCCCTGTGACTTTGCAGGGTATAGACCCTTCCCTGGCTACTTTCACAGGCTGATGTTGAGTGTCTGTGGCTTTTCCAGGTGCATAGTGCAAGCTCTCAGTGGATCTACCATCCTGGTGTCTAGAGGACATTAGCCCTCTTCTCACAGCTCCACTAGGCAGTGCCCCAGTAGGGACTTTGTGTGGGGGCTCTGACCCTACATTTTGCTTCTGCACTGCCCTAACAGAAGTTTTCCATGAGGGCTCCACCCCTGCAGTAAACACCTGCCTGAGCATCCAGGCATCCTAGATTACATCCTCTGAAATCTAGGTGGAGGTTCCCAAATCTCAGTTCTTGACTTCTGTGCACCTGTAGGCTCAACACCATGTGGAAGCTGCCAAGGCTTGGGGCTTTCACCCTCTGAAGCAACAGCCCAAGCTGTACCTTGGCCCCTTTTAGTCATGGCTGGAGTAGCTGGAATGCAGGGCACCAGGTCTCTAGACTGCATACAGCAGAGGGACCCCGGGCTCAGCCCACAAAACCATTTTTTCCTCCTAAACATCTAGGCCTGTGATGGGAGGGGCTGCCACAAAGATCTCTGACATGCTCTGGAGACATTTTCCTCATTGTCTTAGTGATTAACATTTGACTCCTTGTTACTTATGGAAATTTCTGCAGCTGGCTTGAATTTCTCCTCAGAAAATGGGATTTTCTTTTCCATTGCATTATCAGGCTGCAAATTTTCTGAACTTTTATGCTCTGTTTCCCTTTTAAAACTGAATGCCTTTAACAGCACCTAAGTCACCTCTTGAATGCTTTGCTGCTTAGAAATTTCTTCTGCCAGATACGCTAAATCTTCTCTCTCAAGTTCAAGGCTCCAGGAATCTGTAGGGTAGGGGCAAAATGCCACTAGTCTCTTTGATAACACATATCGAGAGTCACCTTTGCTCCAGTTTCCAAGTTCCTTATTTCCATTTGAGACCACCTCAGCCTGGACTTTATTGTCCATATCGCTATCAGCATTTTGGGCAAAGCCATTCAACAAGTCTCTAGGAAGTTCCAAACTTCCCCACATTTTCCTTTCTTCTTCTGAGCCCTCCAAACTGTTCCAACCCCTGCCTGTTACCCAGTTCCAAAGTCACTTTCACATTTTTGGGTATCTTTTCAGCAGCGCCCCATTCTACTAGTACCAATTTACTGTATTAGTTCATTTTTACAGTGCTAATAAAGACATGCCTGAGACTGGGCAATTTATAAAGGAAAGAGGTTTAACGGAGAACTCACAGTTCCGCATGGCTGGGGAAGCCTCACAATCACGGCGGAAGGGAAGGAGGAGCAAGTCACATCCTACATGGATGGTGGCAGGCAAATAGAAAGCTTGTGTAGGGAAACTCCCATAATAAAGACCATCAGGTCTCATGAGACTTATTCACTAGCATGAGAAAAGCATGGGAACGGCCTGACCCCATGAATTAATTACTTCCTACCAGGTCCCTCTTAGAACATGTAGGAATTCAAGGTGAGATTTGGGTGGGAACCTTGCCAAACTATATCAATACTGCTATGGCTTGAATGCTTGTCACCTCCAAAACTTATGTTGAAATATAATTTCAATGTTATGGTATTAGGAGGTGGGTTCCTTGAGAAGTAATTATGCCATGAGGGTTCCACCCTCATGAATGGATTACTGCTGTTATCACAGGAGTGGGTTTGTTATAAAAGGGCAAATTTGGCCCCCTTTTCTCTTCCTTTCTGGCCCTCTCTCTTCCCTCTTGCTTTTCACTTAGTGAGGACACAGAAAGAAGGCCCTCACCAGATGCCAGTATCTTGATCCTGGACTTCTCAGCCTCCTGAACTGTGAGCCAATAAATTCATATTCGTTATAAGTTACCCAGTCTCAGACATTCTGTTACTACAGCACAAAACTGAGTAAGACAGACAGGAGTGACAATCCAGAGTCTCCTTGAATTTGCACAAGCCCTTGATCATTCAGGCTTAGATTGTGTGCAGTCCTTTTTCCCATTCCCTAGAGTCCAGGTCTGCGGCTAAATGGATCTCCATAGCTTCTGTTCTACTCCTGCCTCTCCTGCTGTCTTCCTTGATCCTCTCCTGTGATTACACAGCGACTCAAGGCAAGAAGTCAAGGTAATGCACAAATAGTATCATCATCCACTTTTTATAGATGAGGAAACTGAAGCTTGAGAGGTAACTTCTTACATTAAGCCAATAGTTTCCAAATGCTGAGCAGTGTTTCCTACACTACAGTTCATGCTATGGTGCACCATGCTAGACGTAGCCTTTGTGGCATTGCTGCCTGATTTGGGAAATATGTTTAAAATGTCAGCAACTGTGCCATACATCTTATATCTAAAGGTAACTGGGTCCCATGCTAAGTTTTGAGATCTTTGTGTTCAATTTACTGTGCTTGGCAACTTCTTGGTTGAGTAAAGCATGACAAATCTTAGCAGAACAAAATGATGTAAAGAAATATATCATTAATAAGTCTACCACAAATAAACCTTTTTATAGATTTGTCTATCTGTAACTGAACTCTAACTTAGTTGATTTGTAATAATGCTTTTTCTCTTTCATAAGACTGAGTGTGACATAAAAACACTGAAGAAGTGAAAAATGAAAAACGTAAATTCTTTTTCTATACTCCTGCCGTATCTGTATGTTCTGGGAATACCCAGATAGACTAAGATTTTCATTGTCCTTTCAGACAATTTTGCAAGTGGTTTGTTTAATCTCGTATTGTACAAAAGTTTACATTTAGTTTGCAGCCTCAAATTAAACATTTTTGACATTTTTTTGCATTTGAAAACACAAATAAGATAACTTAACTATAAATTAGATAACTTAATTACCTTTAATATCTTGTATATTTTTAAAGAGCCATTCTGTTTGGGTATGCAACTTAGCACAGGCCAAGCTGAATTTTTCCTTTTCATTGCCCCAGATGTTGGTATTTTCAGAAAGATTAGGTAGCACATACATGAGAAGAAATTTCTTAGGCATATAAAAGTCAATGTCATGAGAACCAAAATTGTCTACCCCACTTACTGCCTGGACTGCCTGGACACTGAGGACAAAGCCGCCCCTTTCTGTTTACATTACTGTGACTTTGCTGTTTTCACAGCTTCACTGTCCCTTCTTTACCTTTGCAGGACAGTTCTGTCCATACAAATGGTGTGATTACTCATAACAGGAACTTCCTTAAAATCCCCAACTCTTCAATGTACCGTACCATTTGGAGTCTGAGATGCTTTCAGTCTTTCACCTCAAAATCCTCACCTTGTGATTCCCACAAATCCATGACTATTGTATTGGGATTCTTATTCAATCTTCACCAGTTTCCTGTGGTGAAAGGCCTGCCTTAAGCCAAATTTTCACCTCTCAACAAATTCTGAACTTATTTTCCTATTTCTAAGATCCAAAGCTTTGCAGAGATGGTGCCTTCCTTTACTGCAGTAAATAATGAATTCAGCCTTGTCTTATAAACAGGTCGTGTTGGTCCTTTTTGGGTGTTGGTCCACTTTCAGTATAGAGGTTCACTTTTTCAGATGTCCAGAGAGCCCCTCAGAGCTGACTCCCTGCCTGCCTCCCAGCCTTGTGTGCCTGGCCTGCTGGCCTCCTTGCACTAGCAACGTGAGCCACTCAGCTTCCCTGGGACACCATGCTCTTCAGTATCTCCACACCTATGCCCATGCTGTTTCCTCTGCATACCCAGGAATCTTCATTTATGCTTAAGTTCCAAAAAAAGCATCAATTCCCTTATGAGAACTTCTCTGATTGACTCCACCCTCAGAAAGAGGTAATCATTTCCTTTTCTTTCCCACTGCTATTTTGTGCCCATGTATTTGCTATCAGATGAATGCAAAACTCACTCTCACACTGTATTGTAATTACACATTTTCATGTCCTTGAAGTACTTGAGATCTGAGAGTGTATGTGTGTGTGTTTAATATCTGTGTCCTTAATAGCAGGTACAGGAAGGCCACTTGGATCAGTGATTCAAGAGAAAGCAAAAACAAAAGAAATAAATACGTAAATGGAGAAACCAAGAGAAGTAGAAGCAAACAAAAGGAAAAGAGGGAATATGATTTGCCTAAAATCCAGTTTCTCCAACATTCATTGACTCATTTCATGTATCTGCCAACATGGTCAGAACTTTTGCTATTTTTGTTTATTTACTCT